GTTAAACAGGAAGTGATGTGATCTAATTTTATACTTTTAAAGAATTTGGTGACTTGCAAGAAAATACAGAATAGGGAGGCAAGAGTAGAAACAGAACCACTGAGAATGCCATTTAGTAGTCTAGGCAAGAGATGACAGCAGCTTGTTCTGGGAAAGTGGAAATGGAGATGGAAAGAAGTAGAGAGCTTCAGAACATACTTGGAGGCAGAGCTGACTGGACTTAACGGATGAAGGGAGAAAGGGAAAGAGGAGACACAATGATAGCTCCAAATATAGGGTTTGACCAAACTAATGGTTCATGGTGCCGTTAGTGACCAGAAATGACTGGGGAAGGAACAGATTTAGGAGGAAATCACAAGTTGCATTTAGAAAATGCAATTCTAGAACTCAGGAGAACCTGGAGACAAAAATTTGAGTCATCAACACAGAGATGCTTTTAAAGCCATGGGACACTAAATAATTTTACCTAAGCAGGCAGTATAGTTAAAGAAGGAAATAGAAGAGAACCAGGATTAAGCTCTGGAACACTATAACATTTAGAGGTCAGGCAAAGGAGGAGCAAGAGAAAAAGACTGGAAAGAAGCAACAGCCATTAAGAAAGGGGGGGAAAAAGTAAGTATGACCTCACAGAAGCCAAAAGAGTGTTTCAAGGAGGGAGTGGTCAAGTGGATAAAGACTAGGAGATAGAGGAGCGACCCCTGCATTTGGAAAAATGGAGATGGTTGGTGACCTTGACAAGAGCTGTTTTGATGGCCTGGAGAAAGCAGAAAACTGAGTGGAGTGGGTTTAGAAGAGAATGAGAAGTCAGAATAAGGAAACAGTAAATATGGGCAACTTTTATTATCGGTTATACTTATCACATGGGCCTGATAACCAGGCCTACCCTGGTCATCGCTTCCCAGCAGTTTTCCTTGCAAACCTCCAGGTCTTTGAGTTCCTCAGTTCTTGTAGGGTAGTGGCAGATTCTTTTTCTCATCCAATTAAGTATTTATCAAGCATCTATTATATGCAAGGCAGCGTGCTAGATGTTGTGTTGGGTTACAAAAGGAAATCAGGAAGATCCTGTCCAAAGGAAGGTTAAAGAGCAATAGAGGGTATGAAGCACTTACCAAGATGAAGACTCAGATGAAGTACTATAGGAAGTCAAAGAAGTTTCCTTTCATTTGCAAAAGGGGATTTGGAAAGATCTGTGGAGGAAGTGGCTCTTGAGCATTTAAGTATAAGTAGAATTTGAAGATGTGTAATTGAGGGTGCGGAAAAGTCATTCCCAGCAAAAGAAATAATACAGGAAGCACAGAGGCGGGAAAGCACTACTGATTCTGGGAGAAAAGCCCAAGTTCCAGATTGGCTGGAGCAAGGGCTACTCGAACATGAAGGAATAAGCTCGGATGGAGGGTATCACAGGTGCTGTGTGCTCATGGACAAAGGTCTGGCCCGTAACATCGTCCAGGGACCTGGCCTGTGTCCCCAGGAGCCAACACTCGGCGCTGGGGCCCGCGCCCCTTCGCTCCAGCCCGCCAGGGCTCTCCGGGCTCGTGCCTCTACCCTGAAGCGTTCTTCCCCGCCTCGTCCCGGAGGCAGGGGCCACCGCCGTGCCCCAACTCTCGCCCTCTCTGCAAGCTCGTGGGGACAGCCTCCATCGCTCGGGACTCACCACTCTGAGTCTGAACCGCCCAACGCGGCCTCAACGTCGCCGAGCAGTCGCCATCTTTCCCGTTTCCTGGTCGCCGAAATGCATCCCCAGCCGCGCTGCAAGCTGGGAAGTCGAGTTCCTGGTGCAGGGCGGCGCGGGCTGACATAGAGGACCTGAGAACTACTAATACCATAATGCACCGCGCCAGCGCCGGCCCCGGGCCGAGGGGTCTGCTGGGCAATGTGGTTCTCCAAACATCTGAGTCTGCGGGAGTTACGAGTTACCCATGGGTTTGCATCCAGCCTAAGGTTCTCTCCCAGTGCGGTCTTCCTCGGAATATGCTGGTGTTCCCAGACTATCGTGGCATGTGGCTTACTACGAAGGAATTTAAGGGCTTCCTTAGCTATCAACAGCGCTTAATCGTCACTAACAACTACAGTAACAACAAATACTGTACCGTTTGTTGGAAAAGCGTTTTTACCAAAAAAAAAAAAAAAAAAATCTGTGAGGTAGATTGGCCCCATTTTACAGGTAGACAAACTGAAGGTTAGTTTACAGGAGTAGCCTACTGTTTCACAATGAGGGTGGGACAATTCATTGTGTGGGACTGTCCCAGATTTAGGAGGACGTTTTAGCAACGTTGGGGAGGCAGGAACAACCCCAGTTATTGTGTCAACTCCAGATGAACCCATAAGTGGATTATAGAGTCCTGGAAGGATGGTATCACCTGGGCTGTGACACCTGTTTTCTCGACATTCCAAATAGGATCCTGGCTTCCTCATTTTCTTGCCCTTTGGAACCTGGCCAGTTGTTGGGTGACCTTCCTAGTTTTGCTTCTTTCTTCCCCCTAGTCCCCCCTCTTCAGTCATCCACTGAGCTTTCTTTTACCCCAAATTGTATGTTTACTTCGGTTCTCTTTGGTCTTATGGCTCATAATTCACCGCCCCACCCCACCCCACTCCACCCCCCCAAAAGACCAAACCTTGAAACTTCTAGGATAGTTTAGATAGATACCAGGAGGTGTCTAATGCCCTCTCCCTTCCCATTTTCCCATCAGCAGCTTTTGGTTTCAATACCATGGGGCTGTAGGGCTGAATGTATGTTCAGTTCTCTTCAAACAGAGCCTCAGGATAGACCCAAATAATCCTAAAACCCTGAACACCACACACAATGGCCCAAAGTAACCCTGGGAGAGATAGGCTTCTGCTCTTAGAATAGAAGCCTTCGACTTGCCCACTTTTACCCTAGAGAAAGATCAGAAGGGAAAGGATGTCTGAGATCTACTAGATGTAACTCATGCAGTGAACACTGGAGGGCTCTTCACTCACAGAATGGAACTTTAACAATCAGACCAAAAGTGTAGACCTTAAGCAGCAGCTATAGTATTTACTGAGAATCTTCAAAGTGCCAACTCTGTGCTGGACACTTAAATTACTTATTTTACTTATTTCTGATAACAGTATGATGCGTATTATCATCATTTTACTGTTTAATTATGCCTTCAACGGCAACATAGTTAAAAGAATGAAGCCAGAATTCAACTCCAGGTTCATTTAACTTCGGAATCCATGCTCTTCCCCTCTTTCCAGGCTACTACACTTTTTTTTTTTAAGATTTTATTTATTTGAGAGAGAGAGAGTGAAAGAGAGAATGAGCAGGGAGAGCGGCAGAGGGAGAAACAGACTCCCACTGAGCAGGGAGCCCGATACTGGGCTCGATCCTGGGACCCTGGGATCATGACCCGAGCCGAAGATGGACACCCAACCATCTGAGCCACCCAGGTGCCGCACGGCTACTACTCTTCTTTACAGATAAGTAAACTGAGAAACCAGAAAGGTGATGAAGTTTGTTCAAGTTTATAGCGGCAGAGTTCCCCTAGTGTTCGTGCACAACTTTCTCATGACACATGTAAGACATTGTGCTTAAAGGATACTCATGTGCTTTGTCCTACCCTGCTGGTTTTCTCACAAAGACGCGCCTTTGGAGATGGAGACAGAGGAACTACGTTCGAGTTAGGCCCATAGGTAGAGTCTCCTATTTAGGTACAACATGGCTAACAATAAGGAGCCCATGGGAGTGTAGTTAACATGGAGACCAGCTGGAATCCTGACTCCATTACTTACTAGCAGTATGATCTTGTGCAAGTTACATAGCATCTCTCACTTTTCTATTTCCTCATTTATAAAATAGGAATATTTCTTGCCTCACAGAATAGGATAGCAGTAAAAAAAAAAAGGGGGGGGGGAATGCATATTCTGGAGTCCAGCTGCCAAATTTGTATTCAGGTTCTATCACTTTCTAACTATGTGACCTTGGGCACATTAACTAACTTCTCTGAACCTCAGTTTCCTTGTCTGTAAAAGGAGGTAGATAGTACCCCATAGGATTATCACAGGAATAAGTAACATAGAAAGAACTCATAAGTGCCCCTGACCCATAGTAAACATTTAACAAATGTTAGCTATTGTCATTTATAAGGTTAAATGTGATAATGTGGGTAAAGCTCTCAGCACAGTGCTGAGCACATAGTAAGTGCTCAATACACAGTAACTTTCTATTTCCAGCACACTATGAAACTTAGAAAAAAGACAAGTAAGTGACTAAAAGGAAGGGATGTTAAGGCCCCTGAGCTGCTATCAACAGGCAATGGAACTGGGAGGTTAAGAAAGCGGAAGACATCACCTCTCCTTGAACTTGGAGGAAACCAGAACCCCAGGAACCTCCCCACAACCGTGGCTTCAGTCTGTCCCACGTTCTGCAGGGGTTGGAATCTCAGTGGTTTGGGTCCTCTACCAATAATTTCACCAAACCTGGTCTCTCTCCTCTAGACTCTCTAGGGCAGTGGTTCTCAACCAGGAGTGATTTTGCCCCAGAGGACATTTAGCAATATCTGGAGACATTTTGATTGTGAGAACTTGGCGGGGGAGGGTATGGGGGGAAGGCGGGGTGCTGACATCTAGCAGGTGGAGGCCAGGGATGTTGCTAAACATCCTCCGATGCACAAGACAGGCCCAAGCATCTAAGCATTACCTAGTCTAAAATGTCATTATTCCAAGGTTGAGAAACCCTGGCCTGGGGCTAAGGAGCTCTTCATTGGCTTATTGGACTTGGGTAGGGTTTGGGTGAGGTAGCAGGGAGGGGGAAAGGGAGACCCTTGTTGGAGATGCCAGGGACCAGTGGAGGCAGCCACTCCGCACCCCACAGTAAGGGCCCCAGGGTAGCTTCTTCCTCATTAGCAAAGACCAAACCGGGACAATGGAGAAAGAAACGAAGAAAGCGGAGCCAACTTCTTTATATGTGTTATATTTTTCATTAATAAATAGGTTTTTCTTCTTTAAACACAGAACATAGAACAGATTGAAACACTCCCCCCTCCCCCCGGTTCCAAAGACAAGAGTCTATAAAACAAATGCCAGCTGTCGTGCCCTGAGGGCAGAAAAAGTCTGGTGACCCCCACCCAGCCCTGCCCCGGGCAGCACCACCACCCCCACACTGCGAGAGAAGGGGGTCTGGGGCTTCTCCCTTGGACCCTGGGGACTTAGGTGAGAAGCATATGAATGTATGATGTCAGCTCTCCATGAGGCATGGGCTATGCAAAGATGAGGTTTCCTTTTCATTGGCTCTGACCAGCTCCTGGCCTTCTGATTCCCGTCATGAAGCACCTGGGCTCGGCTCCCAAGGGAGCCGCCTCTTGGCTTCCCCACTCCACTCCTGTGCGGCTTCCTCAGAGGGGAAGGGAAGGGCTCGGGGACCCCGCCCGTCCCCTGGCCCACATGGAAGCACTGTGTGGAAGAGGCATGATGCTGAAGGCCCCCAAGCCCATGAGGCCAGCATGCCCCCCGCACCCCCACACCTTTCCTTCCTCTGGAGTGGGGGCGGGGGCGTGGGGGTGACACTGGGGCAGCCGCCCCCACCACAACCGAGTGCCTGGCTTGGGGTGTGATGGTTCTTTCTCAGTGTCAGGTCCTCAAGCCGGGCCTGGCTCTTTCCTCGTCCCATTCCTGTCTCCTTTCAAGCCCTCACCGTGGCCGTCTGCAAAACGCACGTCCAGTGTCCTAAATTGTCCCATCCTCCCTCTCCCCGTGCCTCTGCAACCCAAGGGAGGAAGTGGGAGGTTGCCTCCCTTCTCCAACCCCCACTTCACATAATGGAACAGCTTTTGGCCTTTTCCTTCTTGAAGGTAGAAGAGATGAGTTCGGAACGACTGGGGAGGTGAAGCAGTCGCTTGGAGAGGCTGCGGACAGGGCTCTTTGGGGGCACCGGGCTGGGCTTGTTCAGACACACCACGGACGCCGTCCGGAAGATGCTGTGGATACTCTTTTCTGAGGTGAAAGCCGAGCCTTCCAGGTAGATTTCCGCACCCAGCTGCTTGGCTATCGCACAGCCCTGTGGAGGGGGTGAGGTGGTCAAGGCAGTTGTCCCACGTGGCTCTGGGACCCTGCCTTCTATGCTTAGTGGTACTCCCCGGGGCTCCTCCCGATGGGACCCAAGTTCCAGTCTCCCACCACCACCCTCCACTAACAATTTTCTGAAGGGGAAGCCTAAGTGCACCTTACGATCACCTGTAACACTTCTAAAACAACGCTAATGACAGACCAAGTAAGTCAGAATTTCTGTGGGTAGCGCCTAGGCATTAATATCCTTTTTTTTTTTTAAGATTTTATTTATTTATTTGAGAGAGAGAGAATGAGAGAGAGAGAACACCTGAGAGGGGATAGGGTCAGAGGACGAAGCAGACTCCCTGCCGAGCAGGAAGCCCGATGCGGGACTCGATCCAGGGACTCCAGGATCATGACCTGAGCCGAAGGCAGTCGCCTAACCAACTGAGCTACCCAGGCGCCCTAGGCATTAATATTCTTAAGAGCTTCCCCAGATGATGCTAATGTGAACCACTGGTTTAAAAGAAGTGATCCTTACACTCCACGTGTGAAAGAAATTACCCAGGAATTTCATGAGAAATGCAACTTCTGTATTTTTCTCCCAGAGTGACTCGATGGGTACGGAGTCAGGAATTCTAACAAGCACCTCTAGTGATTCTAATGCAGGTGGGCAACAAAAAGCAATCTGAGAAACACTGGCGCGTGCCTGCCAGCCTACAGCATAAATCGGGGTAAACGGTTGCCTCCTGCCTCTAGTAAGATGACTGGTTTGCTGATTAAAGGGGGCCCCCCCAGAACACCAATTCTCCCTTGCCAAAGTGAGAGTTTGAGCAAGGGCCACATTTCAAGTCCTTTGCCTGTAGCCTTCCCCACCCCACCCTCAACACATGCGTGTGCACACACACACACCTGCTCATAGGAGATAGGTGCCTGTTTCTGGTGGGACAGCTCCATCAGCGTGCTCAGGTCTGTTCGCAGGTCTGTCTTACAGCCAATAAGCAAAACACGGGTGCTAGGACAATAATCTAGGATTTCCGTCCTCCACTGAAGAGCCATGTAAAAGGGGAGGGGGAGGAAGAAGAGTCAGTGGCTGACGATACCTGGAGAAGCCCAGCCGGCAACATCACACACGCCATCCAGCTTCTCACCAGCCCAGCCCTCCCTGAGTCACCAATGCCCTAATTATATCATCTTCCTCCTGGGGAGGACTTTGGGGCCACAGGAGCGCTGACCAGAGAGCCTGTCCCCTCACTCATTGGCCCAGTTCACCAAAGGAAGCACAGGGACAAAATCTCCCCCCACTCTCTGCCAAGCATGTGGGGCGTGGATCTGCCCCCTCAACTCAGTGGAAGGGCTTCACGGATCCAGAAAGCCATGAGGAATAGGGAGGAAGCCAACCAGTCTCTTCCCAAGGAAAGGAGATAATCCCAAAGTCTTCTGGGAAACTACTTCCACAAGGTATCCTGAGACTCTTCAGGATAGGCAGACTTTGCCCCCCAGACCAGGCGTTTCCTGCCAGTGTTCCACTCTGGCCTGCCTGGCTTGCCCAGTCCTGGTGGGCCTGGGATCAAGGGCTACAGGAGCTGTCTCCAAAAGACCCCATCTCCAACCCTCAAACTCCATCACTGAAAGGTTCTGACTCTCGATCCTTCATGTCCTGCGTCTTCACCACCACCCTCCCTTGCTGGGCCTCTGGCAGAGGAGTACAGGATACGGCAAGGGCAGGAGGCAAAGGGGGAGGGAATCTGGGTGCTAGTCCCAGAGCAGTAGCTAATGGTACGGTCTCAGGCAAATCTCTTCCTTCCCTGGCCTCAGTTTCTTCCTGCTACAGAAGAGGGGATTGGACAACAAGGTCCCCAAGATTCCTTTTTGTTCTCCAGCGGAGCTAGGGATTGCACAGTTATCCAGACTCACCTTCTTGAGTGCACTATCCACTGTCTCGGGTCGGCTGATATCAAAGCATAGTAATACTGCATCTGAGTCGCTGTAGCAGAGTGGACGGACATTGTCGTAGTAGGGAGATCCTGGTATGCGGGAGAAAGAGCTGATGGTGAACTGTGGCATTTGCCCTTCCCAACGGGCCTAAGCCCAACGGGCCCGGGGCCCTGGGAATACTATTCTTGGCCCTTAGGTTATTGGCCCCACCCACCTCCCAGGGGAACATGCTGCAGCCTAGAAGCTTGGGACCTGACCACCTGCCAGAAAGCAGTACAAAAATATCATCTTCCTTAGTCCTGAAAACAGGGAACGGGAAAATAAAAGGGGGGTAGACTATAATTTGGCCCTGTCTAGGGCTCCTACAGTGCCCTTAATTTCAGGTCTGCCGGTTTTCTGCGTCCCAGAGGAGGATGCCCCCAGCCCTGCAGAGAGACCAGGGCTTGCGTCAGGTGTCTTTCCCAGCGTCGGCCTGCTGCCCAACCTCTGCTCCATGCTGCTGCTCCAGGGTCTCTCCAACGAAGAAACAAACCTGCCTGTTACATAACTAGCCGCCCTGCTTCTTTGCCATGGGGTCAGAACTCTAGAAGGCTGGCAGGGGAGGAGGAACCTCATGGATTCAGTGCCTTACTCCTTCTGCCTGCAAAAAGCTGCAGCCCCTGTCCCCCAAGAGCTCAAGGAGGCAGTTTCAGAGAGAGCAGCACCCATAGCTAGGGATTTGGAGGCTCGAGTAAGGGTCCTTCACAGGGAGAGCAGCAGGCGATGCAGACCCAGGTGGTCATACACAGTATGGGAGAATGCTAGGGGCTCAGCCTGCCCCCCCTCCACCCTGGGGAAGGAACAGTAGCAGATTTGGAACCCAGACAATCCGTGCTCAGAATAGCAAGCAGCCCCTCTCCCTACACCGCAATCGCCATGGAAACTGGGGGGAATCCAAGCTGGGGTGGGGGGTTGGTTGTAAAAAAAAAAAGAGAGAGAGAGAGAGAGTATAGAGTTGTTGCAATAACTGTCTGCCCCTTCAGCAACCTGCCCCCACCCCCTGTCTGAGGTGGGGTCTTAGCTCCGCAGCACTGAGCAGAGGGCAGAGCGCTGCCGCACTGGGGAAGGGGGAGGGGAGGGGAGGAGGCCTCCATTCTGGCTCCAGGCCATCCCCCTCCCCTCAGACCAGCAAGTGAATAATGGGATCAGGTTCGACCCTGGCCCCCGATGTTGGGAAACCCCATCCCGCACGCCGCTCCCACTTCTTCCTTCCTTGTGGGCACCTCATTTGCAAGAAGCAGTTGGAGGAGGACTGATAGCCTGCATCCTTTCCAAAATTGGGGTGTGGGGATGCGACACAGAGAAGAGACACCACTTTGCTGACTTTCCATTATCCGGACTGGGATTCAAGGGCTGCAACCTGACATGGGGGCAGGGTGGGGGCACTTTGGGGCAGTGGTAGTAAAAAGAGATGAGCTGCAGTAAGATTCTGGGAAGACAGAGGTGGGCAGGGTAGGGCGGCCCAAATCCCATACATCATGCAGCCAAGCTGCATTCCAGTCGGATCCAGCCAGCATAGCACAGTCCAGGATAACCAGAATCCTGCCTCCCAACCCCTGGAACTGCAACGGAGGAAGGCATACCAGGTGGAAGAATTTTTGTTTTGCTTTGTTTGGGGGAGGGGGGAAGCAAGGGGGGAATTTCATTTTCTGTTTATTCATCCCCTACCCCCAATCTTTTCAGACCTTAAAAATTAGATCATGGGAACAACAGCTCTTTGAGGAGTAGGATGGCATATTTATTATAGGTAACAGGAAACCCCCTAGTGATTTACACAGTTCCTCTTTAAACTCAGCCTGAATGTGCATTTTTGGAGGGAGGATTTTATTTTCTTTCTGTTGTTCCTGGCTTTTAGTCCTTAATTATGACTCTGAGCCCAGTCTATTAAAAAAGAACTGGGGCAAGAGATAATGGTAAGGGATGAGAATCAAAGCAAAGGACAGCCTAGCACTGAGGGTTTAGGGTTGAGAGGAAAAATATTGCTTTCTACATTCCAGAAAGACCGGGCATCTTCTACCTCAGCCCAGTACGGTGGGGGTGGGGTGACTGTCACAGCCACCCCCCTCCCTGCCACTATCTACAACGAGAGAGTGCCCCACACTAAAGCCATCTCCCCCACCCTCCAAAACATCGATGATGCGTCGCTTCATCCCTGAGCCGCAGCGGTATGACAAGTGGAACCGAGCTGCAGCAGGCGGGCAGCAGTGGCCCAAGATGGAATGCAGGAGACAAAACTGAGTCAGGAGCAGTACTTCCCCAAAGCAGGCTTGTCTCCGGCCTCAACCACCACTGCCTCCAGCAGCACGGACTCCTGCCTCTTATTTGGCTTGGCTCTGGGGCAGTAAAGGTGGGGGTGGGGGCATAGGGAGGGCAGGGAGTGTTAATGGAGAAGCCCTGCCTGACTACCCCCTCCCAGGTGTATTCATGGGTCCATTCACCTCACCATCCCAGCTCTCTGAGAGAAGGGGCTAGACCCAGAGAAGTGGCTTCTGGGGCTCATCCACTATGCACCCCTGGACCTGCCAACCAAGGGAGTCTTCAGGTCCCCTTCTGTCCGTTTCCTGGCCAGCATCATACACACTCCTCCCCATCAAAGAGGGGAACAATTTCTTAAACACAGCAGCTGTAGCAAACCAGTGGGGGTGCGAAGGGGGCATCTGGGGCAGCAGTCTTACCTGAGGTGTCCCAGAGACTGAGCTCCACCCTTTGTTCCTCGGTCTCCAAGCAGGCCGTGTAATTCTCAAACACGGTGGGCACATACGTCTGTGGAAAGAGAGGAAGGAGCTCGTCACACCCTGGGCGCCCCTACTCTCATAACCCTCTGGCTACATAAGAAGCCACTTACCGTAGTGAGACACTAAAGTGGCAGGGGATCAGGGGCAGGGGAGGGGAGGGGGATACTTGGCGCAGGGGGGACCACATGGGACAGGAAGGAGGGGAGTGTAGAGGCACAGGCACTTTGCTCCAGGAAAAAATGAAATCTGAATGACTTCCAGCCGGGGACAAGCCCCCTCCCCTCCTGCCCACCCCCCACCCCCATCCTAGATGGCCAGGGAGGCAAACATACAGATTCCTCTCATCTCCAGACTCGTATGTCTCCCAGTTTTAGAGCCACAAGCAAATGCTTAGCTCTTTATCTTCTCCCACAAGCCCCTCGGACCAGCAGGGTAGCAGAAGCCCGCCTGGAGACATGCTCGCGGAACCTCTGAGGAGGGATGAGGAGACGGGCAGGTATTACGTCAAGAAGAAACCCCAGACTCTCAAATGCCTCCAGTTCCCTCTCCCGAGAGCAGACCCCGGGATAAAGGGCGGTAGGAGGGCACTGGATCGGGGCCTATGGGTGAAGAGGTGAGGAGGAGCCGGCGGGGCGGCAGAAGTGGAACAGGTCTCTGGGGAAGCTAAGGCAGGGCGGTCCTCCAGCCGGGCGCCTGAGATCGGGCAGGGTGGCGTGCGGTGAGCTGGGGGGAGATGGCTCCCCCGGGCAGGTGGGAATCTAGCCCCGGGGAAGGCGGGCAGGCAAGGAGAAAAGCTGGCCAGCGGGCGGGCCGCTCACCTCGGGATAGCAGTCCTTCGCTAACACCTGTAACATCGCCGTCTTCCCGCACTGCACATCCCCCACCAGAACGAGCTTACATCTGGCCACGACTGGCTGGGGGGCGCGTCTCTCCTTCATGGCTGTAGCCTCCGCGGGACTTGGACTCAGATGCAGAGAGGAGAGGGTTGCGCCAGGTGCGTCTCAGCACAACAACCCGATCAGATTCCTCGCCTCCCTCCAAATGAGAAGGAGGCCGGCACGGCCACCTTATATCTCCCCGGCCAAGCCAATCACAAGAGGAGGCGGACTCTGTCGAGGCCAATCCCTGAGGTGGGATCCCCTCCGGCAGCCAATGGTAGGAGAATCTGAGTCAGTGCCCTCTTCCTCCCTTCCCTTTCTCTTAAAGCTGCATCTTTGCTTCCTCTGCAAGGGGATTCCCACGCTGTTTGCATTTGTATTAGGAAGGGGGGAGGGGACGTGAAGCAAAATTAATGGTCTTGAGTGTCCATCAATTAGTGTCAAAAGCAAACTGGCCATGAAGGCAGAAAATGAGGTCAAGCTGGCGTTGTCCCAAGAGAAAAGCAGGATCTGCCTCAACTATAGACAGGTGGCAGCCGGGCTGGGGGGTGGGAGGGTGGCCCCACAGATCTCTGACCTCTTTGTTCCATCTAATCCCCATCCAAACCACTTCTGGCTTCCTCTCCCAGAGACTCCTGCTCTACCCTTTTATCAGCTCCTCCTGTACCCCTTTCAACGTCCACGTCTGGAATCGCCTTCACCTAAACAGACAGATGATAGATAGATGATAGATAGATAGATAGATAGATAGATAGATAGATAGATAGAAAGATAGGTAGATGATAGATAAAGTCTTTTTGCATCATCTGGAAAAAACCCACATAACTCCTGACCCAGAGATTGGCAGAGAGAAAAGAATGAGGGTGTCTGGCAACTGGGGATGAGAGAAAAGAGGAGAACAAAGCAAACAAAGTCCCTGTTGGGCCAGATCACTTCTCACCCCATGCCTGGCAGGAGCTGCGTAAGCGTGTTTGTTCTGCCGCCCGGGGTCAGCTTCCTGGATGAATCGGGCACAGGTCCAGTTCCAGGTTGATACCTACTAATGCCGACACACTCTGTGTGTCATCTGGTTAAAGTCCAGACTGGAAGACTGGGCCTGGGACTCTGGGATTAGCAGGCTGGAGGGCAACCCAAGGTTGAGAGGAGCTACGTAACTGCCTACCAGCCCTGCCCCTCAGAGCATGTTAAGGAGCCTCTCCACTAGGCAGAACCGTGGGATATACGCAGCTTGAATAGCCCACTCATTATTCAGGAACCAAGACAGTCTAAATAAGGCCTCCTGGGGATCAGGGATTGGAGTAAAACTGATCCTGGGCAAAAATGAGAGCACCCCAGAGTTTATCTTTAGGTCCCTTCTCTTTGTCAAGCTCAGCACCTCTGGAGCATGCCCTGGGTCTTGTTCTGTCTGAGCTTTACCTTCATTGCTGTCTCACCCAGGGATATTTCCCCTGATGTAAAGGATGTTTAGGGGCATCTGGGTGGCTCAGATGGTTAAGCATCTGCCTTCGGCTTAGGTCATGATCTCCAGGTCCTGGGATCGAGCCCCACATCAGGCTCCCAGCTCAGTGGGGAGTCAGCTTCTCCCTCTCCCTCTGCCTCTCCCCCTGCTTGTGCTCTCTCTGTCTCTCTCTCTCTCAAATGAATACATTTTTAAAATCTTTAAAAATTAAAATTAAAATAAAAAAATAAATAGGGGTGCCCGGGTAGCTCAGATGGTTAAGCATCTGCCTTCGGCTCAGGTCATGATCTCCAGGTCCAGGGATTGAGCCCCACATCGGGGCTCCCAGCTCAGCGGGGAGTCAGCTTCTCCCTCTCCCTCTGCCTCTCCCCCCTGCTCATGCCCTCTCTCTCTCTCTCTGTCTCAAATGTATAAATAAAATCTTTAAAAATAAATAAATGAATAAATAAAGGATGTTTAAAAACCTTTCCCAGACCCAAAGGCTCTAAGAGTGAGCTTTCCAGTGCTCACTATAGACAGGAGAATGGAGGGTATTTTGACAATATAGCCTAGTCTGTGTGCCTCTCATCAAGTCCTGTGGCATCCAGTCCAAATTACTTGGTTGAGGGCTCTGGGACTAAGTGTTGCATGGTCCTCTACTCATCTCCTGAGGCGCCCCTTCCTAAGGGAACCTCCAGAGTAGTAAGAGTTATCCAGGTGCTACCATAGCCTCCACTCCCAGGCTCTCTGGAAGTTTTTTCCCCACTTCATCCCTGAGGCCTCATTCTCAGCTCTCAGACGATATTTGTCTGTAGAGTTTGTCCTCTTGTCCTTTTTCAGCAGGCTGACAGCTGGTCTGAACTGCCCATAAGTAAGGTTTGGGAGAGTTCCAGGAACAGCTGTAAGACCACAGACTGCTTCAACCTGGAGTCCTTTCCCTCAGCCTGACCTTTTCCTCCTCTTCCTCACCCTAAGTCTCATCTGGACTCAGTTCTGGAGGCCTCTATGATGTTCCCATACATCCTCTAACCCTTAACTTGGTTCCCTCCAATGGCAGCCCCCATTGGACTCCAAACCCCAATGGCTTCAGCCCTCTTTCTCCCCCATGTTCTCTACCAGCCTCCCCCCACACACACCCTCTCTACCAGCCACTCCAAAGAAACATTCGATGTAAGTGAAAACTGTTCCTGCCACGCAAACAGCTTCCTTTGGCTTCTAACAAGATTGCTATTCCTGAGCTCCTCTGAGATAGACATTCTGGGAGCTGGTGCTAACACCGATTCTTCCCTGGGTGGCTGTATCTCGGGGCAGGACAGCAGAAAGCCTGAGCTGTGAGACAAAGCAGCCCCCATCATGGCTGATTCTCAAGATGTGTCTGAAGATATTTTGCAGGTCACATGGTTATGAGTTGTGGTGGGAAAAGTAATGTGTGTGAGTGTGTGTGTGTGTGTGTGTGAGGTCAGAAGGCAGCGTGGCAACCTGAAGAGAGAATGGAGCCAAAGTTCAGCAGGTGTGGGTTTTGGACCCTGCTCTGCCCTTACCAAGCTGTTAGGACGTTTGAGTAAGTCACTTCCCTCTCTGGGCCCATTTCTTATATGTAATGTGAAGGGTTTGGACTGGAGAATGGGGTTCTTAACCTTTCTTTCTTGCTTTCTTGCTTTCTTTTTTCTTTCTTTCTTTCTTTCTTTCTTTCTTTCTTTCTTTCTTTCTCTTTCTTTCTTTCTTTCTTTCTTTTTCTTCTTTCTTTGTTAGACTCCCTCCCCTAAGTTTGTTTAAACCTTTTCCAAGTGTCTTTATTTAAAAAATCCATAGCCAGAGTAATAAACTTACAAGGTGGTTCTCTCCTATCAAGAAAGAGGTTACACTTGAAAACAAGGTTATACTTGAAAACCTTATCCTAAGGTGGAAGAAGCTGGGCACAGAAGACCGCATATTGTCTGATTCCATTGTTCAGAGTAGATCGACTGAAGAAACAGCAGACAGGTGAGTGGCTGCCAGGGGCCATCAAGATCAGGGGAATGGGGAGTGACTGCTAATGGATTTGACGTGTCTTTGGGGGGTGATGAAAATCTTCTAAATTTGATTGGGTGATTGTTGCACAATTCTGTGAATATACTAAAAACCACTGATTTGTACAGTTTAAATTGGTGAATTATATGGTATGTGAATCATATCTTGATAAATCTGTTACTTTAAAAAATAAGGTTCTAATTCCAAATCTTACTCATATAGTCTCCTTTAGCTTATTTTTTTCCGAAGGCTTTTGTGTGTGTGGGGGGGGGGGGTGTTCAAACATTTAAAAACAGAGAAAAAATAATACGATGACCCCCTGTCACCCAGCTTCAATAATTATCAACATAATCTTGCTCCATCTATTCCCCCACCCACTTCTCCCCATTACACCTCCTGTACTGGATGATTTCCAAGCACGTGTTAGACATCATATTGTTTAACCCATAGATATTTCCGTACTCATCTCTAACGAGCATGTTAGCATAACCATAATACCATGATCACAACTAAAAATAAATAACTCACTCCTTAGTATCATCAAATATCCAGTCGGTGTTAATATTTTCCCAACTGTGTCATACATTGATTTAATCTAAAACAAGGCGCACATACTGAATTTGGTTCATATGGCTCTTAAATGTCTTTTATTTCATAGGTTCTATCTCCCCTTTTTTTCCTTGTGATTCATTTGTTGAAGAAAGCAAGTTATTTATTCTACAGTGTCTTCCAGATTTGGGATTTTGCTGATTACATCTTAATGGTGGTGTTTACATGTAGTAAAGCTCCTTTACACATTAAATCTTATACAGAATCCCAAAACACAAAAGAAGATGAAAAACCAAACTGCTCTGGTTGAATCAGAATGAGGGACTTGGAGTGGGGATCTGTCAGCCTCCCCTCCCCTCTCCTCTTGGGGTACTTCCAAGAAACAAACTACAGGGGACACAGTTTAAAAACCACTAGCCAGGATAGCTTGTGTGTGTGTGTGTGTGTGTGTGTGTACCACATGTTCAAAGCTCAGGACTGCCCTATCTTTTTTTGGCTCTGATTACTCTGATAAATTCCTATCTGGGACAGTGACATAATACACAAAGGTGTTCAGGGTGATGGCAAATTCAAATTCGCTCAGACTCTTACCAGAGGGTACACAAGCTCAGTCTTTCTCTGCCCTAGGGATTCTTACAAAGAGCTCCGAGGCTACATGCCACCTACGTCCCCTATGAGTGTGGTAGGACGAGACCCCTTCTCCCCTCTCCTTAATAGGACTCAGGTGCCCTCTTCCTTTAGTCTAAAGTCACAACTTCTCATGATCTCAAGGATCTCTGGCTCTGAGCGCTGGGGAACCCCTGACCTTTGGGCATTTTAGCTGGAGCAGCCCCTGGAGTGCTAACCAAGTTTTAAAGATTCAGTGCTTGCCTTCAGAGAGTTTACAGCTATGCGGCGAAATAAAGCAAGAGCCCTTTGGGTAATTAACACCAAGTGCAGTAAGAGTGATGAGGAGGGAGGGTTCAGATCTCATTACACAATCTGGAAGGCGATGGAAGAGGGTCTCAACTCTTTTTAAAAATATTTTATTTATTTATTTATTTATTTATTTATTTATTTATTTATTTGAGTGGGGAGCAGAGGGAGAGGGACAAGTAGACTCTGAGATGAGCGCAGATCCTGATGCGAAGATCCATCCCATGACCCCCGAGATTATAACCTGAGCCAAAACCAAGAGTCTTAACTGAGTCAGATGTTTGAGCCACCTGGGTGCCCCCAGGGTCTCAATTCTGATATAAGACTGGTGAGGGGAGGGGTGCCTGGGTGGCTCAGTCGTTAGGCGTCTGCCTTCGGCTTGGATCATGGTCCCGGGGTCCTGGGATCAGGCCGAGTCAAGCCCCACATCTGGCTCCCTGCTCAGCAGGAAGCCTGCTTCTCCCTCTCCCGCTCCCCCTGCTTGTGTTCCCTCTCTCGCTGTGTCTCTCTCTGTCAAATAAATAAATAAAATCTTTAAAAAATAAAAAAAAAGTTGCCTTAAAAAAAAAAAAAAGACTGGTGAGGGGAGAGTACTGATGCAGGAAAACGCTAAGCATGCCCAAGGACTAAAGAATCAATCTGATCAACTGGAAGGATGATTCACGGTAGGGGGTGGGACATTTTGCCCAAGAACATGATTAGGAAAGGAAATGTGATGCTAAAATATATAAAATGGGGGCTGGCTCAGTCAGAAGAGAGTGTGACTCTTGATCTCAAGGTCATGAGTTCAAGCCCCACGTTGGGTATAGAGATTACTTAAATAAATAAAAATTTTTAAAACTAACTAACTGGACGCCTGGGTGGCTCGGTCGTTGAGCGTCTGCCTTCGGCTCAGGTCATGATCCCAGGGTCCTGGGATAGAGCCCCGCATCAGGCTCCCTGCTCCGCGGGAAGCCTGCTTCTCTCTCTCTCCCACTCCCCCTGCTTGTGTTCCTGCTCTCGCTGTCTCTCTCTGTCAAATAAATAAAATCTTAAAAAAAAAAAAACTAACTAACTAAATAAATAAATAAAATACCATAGAATGCACTTAAAATCAAAATACAGGAGTCTGTAGTTTAAAAATTATATAAAGTGTGTACCTATATGTTGTTCCTGATTGTCAATGCCCTCCAGCCAAAGACCAGCAACAAAACTGTGGAACAAAATTGGGTGTAGGGATTCATTCCATTCATTCCAACAAGGAGGCCACACACTGTGGTGGAGCTGTGGGCATCTGGGAAAAGGGCGATAGAAAGGACCTGGGATTTGGACTTAACATTTGTTGATTTAGGGAGAGGTCAAGGAAGCGAGGGATTGCTTTGTAATCAGAAAGCTGGGGAATTCTGTGATTGGGAAATTTAATGCATCTTATGAGGAGGCGGGAGGAGTATAACTGGGCCCAAAGTGGGAGGGGTCGAAGAAAGAGCAGCACGGCTGCGGGCGAGGAGGTGGGGGGGTGGGGGGGGTTGGTCATATTTGTGGCTTGGACAATGTCCTTGTTTCTGTCTGAGTTTGGGTGTAACTACGGGGAAGTCTTGTTCTTGACCTAGCATGGTCAGAGAGTGGCCTGGCTTGATGGTGGCATTCTGTGACATTGTGTATGTTCCCCGGAAGAAAACCAAAGCCAAGCTGTGAGTGCCAGGCCCATTCCTGGGGCTTTTCCCCTACTCATGCTCTTCTCCACTCCTCTTCCTGGGAGCTGGGTGTTGTTACAGGAGTCTGGTGAGAGACTAGAAGGAGAAACAAAAGGAAAGAGGAGAATTTCCCAAGAAAATTTTCTGGAGGAAGTAGCAGGGAGCTATGAGGTAAAACAAGAACAAGAGGCTGGGGGGGGGGGGGGGCGGGGCACCTGGTGGCTCAGTCAGTTAAGCATTTGCCTTTGGCTCAGGTCATGATCCTGGAGTCCTGGGATTCTGCGTCGGGGGTCCCTGCTCAGCGGGCAGCCTGCATCTCCCTCTCCCTCTGCCACTCGCTCTCTCTCTCTCTCTCTCTAATAAATACACAAAACTTTATTTATTTATTTATTTATTTATTTATTTATTATCTTTAAAAGAAAAGGTGCTGGGGCACCTGGGTGGCTCAGTCATTAAGCGTCTGCCTTCGGCTCAGGTCATGATCCCAGGGTCCTGGGATCAAGCCCCGCATCGGGCTCCCTGCTCCGCGGGAAGCCTGCTTCTCCCTCTCCTGCTCCCCCTGCTTGTGTTCCCTCTCTCGCTGTCTCTCTCTCTGTCAAATAAATAAATAAAATCTTTAAAAAAAAAAACAAGAAAAGAAAAGGTGCTGAGAGGGGGCCAGGGTATACGGAATGTTCTAGGGAATGGGATGGCTTGGAAGCAAGAGATGGAGGTCTGGAAAGAGGACCTGGGAACACATGTGTATGTATGTGTGAGTAAAGATGTACACAGGAGGAGAAAAGTCACATGCACAAAGCTCCATGAGCTGGACTGAGATTTAGGAGCAAAGTATGGGAATTGCAGAGGGTGACAGGGGAAGAAGTCTGGCTTCTGTCTGGTTTCAGACTTGGCTGGAGGAACAGAAGAGCAGAAGGTAGCCAGAAGAAGCCCAGCGCAGCCGTACCCAGAGCAGGCGTTTGGAGCAGGAGACTAGTGAGACCACAGCTGCAGGCCTGCCTGCCTTCTCTCGCCATCACCAGGGCTCAGGCAGGACCGAGGTGGCCACTTGCTGGGTGAGCGGTAGGGAGGCCTCGTGCTGGGGGGCGGGGAATCCTAAGGGAGGAAAACACCTCAGAAATGTGGGAGTG